TTGTGTGTGTGTGTGTGTATTCTCGTTTCATATCGACATACAACTGTTTATTACTCATTTTATTAACATTTTTATTACAATTATTGTTATTATTTATTAATTTATTATCAGCAACAGCTAAGTTCGCTTGTTTCCGTTTTGCTGCTTTCTTTAAGTCAGCACAAACGCTTGTAGACCATCTTCCGCTCTTTAATTGCTAATTGAATTTGTTAATTTCGGTAAGGAGCCGAACTGCTGTTGCTCATTCACACATTCAACGCTTGCTTCCCTTCCTATGCTCTTGTTTTCTACGCTTTCTAAACGTCGTCCCTTTATTTTGCTTTCACTTACGTACTACTAAAATATAATTATATTTTTAATGCATTTTTTCTGTTCTTTTGACTGTTTAGTGCCTTTAGCCAAACAAATATCCAGAGTCAATGCTTTCTTTTTTACCTTTCTTACATAATTTGGATGAATTGTAGTGTATGCTACACTTGAAACGCTTCAATCGCAGTTGCCATTGAATCTTAAATGGTTTTTGGGTACACTGAAGCAATTTTCAATATACATATCTAACTCCAATTTGTTATAGTTGTTGTTATTGTTGTCTAGACACAATTTGCGCTGGCTTTCATACACTCGCACTATTTATTTATATTATGTATGTATATGTATTGATCACAAACCTGCATTATATTAGGCTAGCACTAACTGTTTGTAGTATTGGGTATTCAATCGACTTTTCTATTCTACAACACTGCTGGGATTTTTTATTTATTAAAGCGATTCTTCGAAGGCTGCCATTAGATCACTTTGCATATTCATATCGATTTGACCGGCCATCTAGAAAGAAAGAGATTTTTTTTACTAGGCATGATATTGAGCAAAACTCTTCAACTATTTCATATTTAAAATTTAAAAAGAAATAAAACTTTTCAACAATATACTGCCCTCATTAAAATGTAACTTTCAAGGTATACTGTCATTTCATAACGAAATGGATAGTCTACCTTTCGGCGTAACTTCATACCTAAAAGTAACAAAATACTACATAGCCTACATCCAGGCGCAAATTTGTTGTCGAAATGTATACTAGCTTTTCGAACAAAATTCATAGCCGACATCCAGGCACAAATTTCATGTCTAGCTTTTTATATCAAAATTAATAGTCTACATCTAGGCGCAAGTCTAAGGCCAAAATGTATACTAGCTTTTCGTAAAAAAAATTTAGATACAAATTGTATGCCTAAACGTCTACTAGCTTTTTATAACAAAATACATAGCCTACATCTAAGCGCATATACATATGGCTACTTTAAAATATACTACTCTAGGATTTTGAAATTTACTTACCGCTTCACGTCGTCGTCGCTCCTGCTCGAGACGTCGCAGCTCTGCACGTCTTGCGGCGGCGCGGTCTTGTGGCGATTGTTGCGCGGCACCGGCCGGTGATCCGCTGCCCTGCGGCGACGCTTTGATATCGTCTACACGTGAGTTCTGCACCTGAGTAACGTCGTGCACACTTTTTCTAGTTGTAATAGACAAAACATATACAGTAACAGCGCGTGTCCCGCATAATTTTCTCTATAATCGCTTACCTCCCACTTTCCATGTTGACGTCAGCTGCCGTCGAATGCATATGTCCACCGCCACTGCTGGTGACCGCGTGCCCATGACCGTGGCCAACGTGTCCATGTGAATGCCCGTGCGCATGCGCCGACTGCGACAATGATGCTGCCGATGCGGATGTGTGGTGACCAGCGCCACCACTGCCACCGCCCGCACTACTGACGCCGCCCACTCCACCGGCACTGCTACCACCGCCGACACCACCGCCAATTACGTTGGCACTAGTGCCACCAACTGTACTATTACCGTTACCCGTTACACCACCACCCACACCAATTGCGCCCAATGGTTGTTTGTGATGCTGTTTACGCTGTTGCTCCTTTTCGGCCGCCTCCTTCTGTCGTTTTTGCTCCTTCTCGGCGGCTTCCAACAACTTCAGGCGATCGGCTTTCTCTTTGGCTTTGTTGCGGAACTGTTGGAACGAATCCATGGCGGGTTTAGGCTTGTTGGAAGTCGGTGTATTTTGTGGCGAACTGGCCGATGCCAGTGATGACCACGAACTGGCATTTTTAAGGTTTTGTTCGTGCGCCGATTTGAAAGCTTGCGCGAAATTCGCTTGATTCGAGCCCAAACCGCTGGCACTGCCCAGACTTGCGGCTGTTGGTATCTTCAGATCGGATGGCGATTGTTGTGGCGGCGCTACTTGCTGAACCTGCTGGTGTGATTTCTTCTCAGGTGGACTAGGCATCATTGATTCGATGGGCTTAGGTGTGATAAGTAATTTATTGGGCTGAAGCGGCGGTTGAGATTGCAATAATTGCTGTGCCACTTGATGATCGCCCAAACCGAGCGCATTGGCGGCATCTTTCTTACCACCAGTCAGTGACAAGTTGCCAGGCATACCCGGTGCGCCACCGCCCATCATCATGGCGGCAAGAAATTCGTTGTGACTACCACCCATCGATGGCAATTGTTCGAAAATTGAACCAGTGCCGGCGCCACCGGCATGAGACAGCCCCAGACCGGCTAACGCCAGACTATCTAGCGCACGGTCAGCGGCGCTGTTGTAACCGTTATTGTGCGCGTGTTGCTGCTGCTGTTGATGGTGCTGTTGCTGCGAATGCGCCATGGCCTGTTGGAAATGTTGCGCGGCCACCGCTGCGGCCATTGTGCTAATCCGATTGTTGAGACCCTCGCCGAGCTGCATCAATGGGAAATGATTACCATTCATGCCAGAAACGTTTTCGGCGGCATTCTTCGATAATAGCTCCGACATTAAATCCATATGATGATGATTGCCGGCATGCGCATGTTGCGCAGCTGCCTGCTGCTGTTGTTGCTGCTGCGACTGCTGTAAAGCGCCGAAAGCTTGCTGTGCTGACGCATTTTGCCCATGGTTACCATGTGTGAGTTGTTGCGGTTGTGGTTGTTGCTGCTGTTGTTGTTGCATTAGATGGGCATTCATGAGAAAGTTATCCGCGACGCTTTTCGCCGATCCTGCCGTTATTAATGGCTGCTCTAGCGATGCAAGCGACTGTTCAACGGGATCATCAAATTGTGGAATTTGTTTCAGACCAGCAGTCAATAAGGAAGATGCCACAGAAGACGGCACCGACGCTGGCGCAACAGACGAAGGCGCGGTGACGACAGCAGCAGATGGCAGTAGAGTATTTGGCACACTTGAGGATAGCGTGCCAATACCCAAACCGCCAATGCCGGCTGCATCAGCGACATCCATCGGTGTCGGCGGTGGCAGTTTGTGTAAATTACTGGCAACACGTATGCCACCAATATTTGTAGTAGTTGTGTTGTTGTTGTTATTATTATTATTATTGCTGCCGCTGTTAGTTTGTGATGTAGTAAGTAGGGAGCCAGTCAACGACGCTGCGCTTGCAGATGAGGCGAGTAGTGCGGCGGCAGCGCTTGATACCGTTGGCATTGTCAAGTCATTGGGACCGTTACTGCCCGCTGCACCGCTATTGGCGATGCTACTGTTACTTATTGTGGTTGCAGCCGTAGTACCAGCCGCCGCGGAGGCTGCAGTGGTGCCGCCGCCGATTGTTATTGCGCCGCTCATGGCATTTAGAGCACTACCAACACCGCTACCAACCGAAGTCGGTATTAATGATGTTTTACTGCTGTTATTGTTGTTAAGTAGGGCAACAGCAGACATGGCTGGATCCGTCGCAGCACCTGCAAGCGTCGTTGCTGCTGTCGAGGGAGTAACACTCACTGTACCACAGACAATGGAAGAAATCAGACGATACGAGAGGTTGCCAAGCACAATGATGAAGAAAACATGACAAAAAAAATGAGAAGGAATAAGATGTTTTAATGACGGTAAAATGTAAAGCAAAAAAAAATTTACTGAAAAATGGGCAAATGCTTCAACTAATTTTTCCAACGGATAAAATTTTAAAAATTTATATGCCAAATTTCTTGAAGATATCTCGTCAAATAGAAAAGTTTCATGCTATTGTGGTCCGAAATCGGCGGTTCCGTCAAATGAGCAGTGTCTTGGGGAGAAACTGAGGAACTAATTCCCGTATATACAGACGAATAGAAAGGCACACGGACAAGCCTCAATTGACTCAACTCGTCAGGCTATTCAATAATATAGTTGTAGATTGATTAGAAATACGAAAAGACTTCTTCGACTACCCAATATATTTTAGAGGGCCGCTCTGACGTGTCTTTTTGGTTCATAGAAACTTGGTGTTAAACTTCACTTCATAGATCGATAAAATATTTATTACCACTAGCCGTTATATAAAAATACAATAATTCATAGGAATAATCGGAAAAATATAGGCCAACTTTTTCGATAAGTTAATCGGGAATGCATTTGTTCGCTAAAACCAAAAGTCATCGACTTTTATGAAAAATTATCGATATATTTTTTCCATAAAATCGATTTCTTCTCTAAAATCTACAAGTGTTATTAATTGTACCCTCAGTTTCTGTTACAAACCCTTAATTGTGCTTACTTTGTGTTCCACTACCCGAAACTGCGTTCATCTGTGATGTAGGAGCGGTCATTGGCGGCGCCAAACTACTCGTACTTTGTGTTGTTACCCCCGTAGCTGGCACACCGGCCATTGTCGTTTGTAGATGCTGCAATTGTTGCGTTGCACTAGACGCTTGCTGCGTTGCGGCTATTGTGGACGCAATTGAGGTTGAAACTGCTGCAGAATTACTGCCAATGCTACTAACAGTTGTTGCTGTAGTCAGGCCAACACTGGTGGGTGCTATAGTTGAATTATTTACCTGTGCAATGTAGGGGAGGAAAGTACAGATATATACACATTAAACAATGAGGGGTGAACATATTTCGTTGACAGTTGATTTGACAGTGAATGCTTAATGATAAAAACGGTGACACACAGTACACACTCGGCGTCAACACAGATACGCATAGGGGTCGGAATGGCGGTGCTTTTTTAGTTAGACCCCCTGAACTCTGTTTTTGGTGTGGTTGGATAATGGATTTGTGTGTGTGTGTGTTGGGAGTTAGCTTGGTCTAATCTATAAAGATTGTTGTCTGGTACTTACATTATTGCTACCACTTGAATCACGGGGTTTCTTCTTTCTCGGTGGACGACTATCAATATCACCTGTACGCAATTGATAAAAAATATATATATATTAAATTTAAATTATTTA